CTGGGCAAGTTCAGCACCATCCTGCTCAGCATGGCGCTGTACCTGCTGGGCATGCTGGCCTTCCCCGTCATCGCCGCGCCGCACACCCGGCAGGGCCTCTGCGGGGACATCCCCTTGTTCCCCGTAGAGAACTGCTCCTCTCCGGCGGTCAACGCCACCATGGCGCCTTGCTCCCAGGTGGGAGCCACCCGCTACTGTGCCACCGCCACCTTCGTGGGACTGGTCCTCGTGGGGCTGGGCGTCGGGTCGGTCAAGGCTAACATCACCCCTTTTGGGGCAGACCAGGTCAAGTATTCTTGGGCAGCTGCCAAATCGTTTGTGGGTGCTGATCTGAGGGGGGGTGGCTGTCAGTCACGCAGAGGGGCTTGCTTTGCTGGGGTGGGCAGCGCGCCTGTGGACTCACAGCTCTGGGTGTTAACTCCCCGAGGGGGGCAGATCATCCAGCTTTGCTCCCTGTGGAATGCGAGCTGTTAAGCTGTACCCTGACTGACATCATTTTGGTGTCTAATCCTTTATGACCCTTGGTTTCCTGGCAGCCCTGTCATAGGTGTGGTACCTGATTTGGCTAAGCCATCACCATCTTGAGGAGTTGGGTTGAATACTTAATGGCCATTAAGTGGATTGTTACTTGGCCTCCATTATGGAGTTTGTACCCAGTTAATTTGACCTCAGAGACCATCAGATGAAATGTCCAATATGCGTTTTAGCTTTGACAAAGATAGCATGGGCCTCCTAAGACTGTCAGGAGCCTTTATCATCCAGTTATAAAGGATGGATAGAGAACAGTGTTTTTATGTCCTTGAGTGATGGTTTTGTGGGGGCTGATGTTGTGCCAGATGACGGGAGGGTGAACATATTACCTGGGCTGTTCTCCTAGGGACATGTCCTGTCCAACAACCTTACTCAGATCCACTTCAGGTGATATCACCCACTGGATCATCACTGGAGAACCCAGTGGCTTTACAGCCAAATTTGAGAGCCAGCTCATCGTTCAGTATCAACTGGAATGCACTGTTATATGTTTACGCTCAGGCAGCATGCTGGCTGTGGATGTTGAATTGCAGTATAGTTTCTGCTTTACAAATGGAGAATTTCAGATGCTTAGACTCAACTGTTCAACAAAGCACGGAAATTACCTCTGAACTAGTTGTGTGTCTGTGTACTGGCCCACTGAGTTCTGGTTAGTACAGGAATGCCGTGGAATTCTGTGTGAGAGGTAGGATTTAGCACAGTATCTTTGCCAAACCTACCTCTGTTCTCTGCTGTGCAGTTTACATTTGTCATTCTTTGGCATTTCGTACATTATAAATCCTGGAGTTCTGAGTGGAAGGCAGTATATAAATGTAAAACATGATTATAGCCAAGGCTTGTGTGTCCCCAGTGTATTGGTTCTCTTTAAGCCAGCGTGAGCCCATCAAGCGTAATAGCCTTAATATGACTTTATCTTGTAAGGTGTTTTTCAAAACTGACTGCTTATCCCCAGAACACTTTATGAACATTAAATAGAAGAGATAAATAATGGCAGGGACAGAGCAAAAGAAGAACCATTGCCAGTGGTAGTGTAGCTGTTGTAGCTGGATTTTTTGAAGGCTTTCCCCCTAGGATTTCACGGAAAGCAGTTTTTGGCTAGGTTTGCAGATAATTCACAGTGATTTATGTAGGTTGGAGCAAAGAAATACTCCTTTCTGGTTCATAATAATCAGTAGAGCTCAGCCGAGGGCTGAATTTTTCCCCTTCTCTGTTTTTCTGGTTTATCTGTTGTTAAGCGTGTTACAGCATACCGCTGCCTGTGCAGTTTTGGGCCCTCTTGGGTGCCTTCTCCCTGCATAGGAATGTAGCAAACTGCCGGAAGGTGGGTATATAGTGCTGAGGGTAAAGTCTGTCTCCCAGGGTCACATTCCTGAGGCCAGATCACAATGCAGACCTGTTTGGGCTGGATGTGTGCTGATAAGATTGGTCCACTTTCCCTCAAATACCAGGCAAAGGAAAACAGGAATGGGAGGTCTTGGGTAGCCACAGGAGCCACCTCTCAGGTATTGTTAGTTACATTTCCTGGCAGATCTCTTAAAAATTACCATGTACATTTTTCAGTTTTAACAGATGAGCAGTAATTTGGGTGGAGAACCCAAATGTAATGAGGATACGGTTATTGAGAAGTGCAGAATCACTTTGTGGAAAACTGAAAACTGAATTCCAATACTTATTTTCTTCTGAGGTTAAAAACATGTCGTTTGTAGATTTCTGTTAAAAGGATGCTTTTGGAAGTGCTGTGACAAGTCACCAGTAGTACGGAGCGACTTCAGCCAGGCAGCCTGGCACAAGCCGGTTGCTGTGAACTGGGCGTAGAGCAGCTCCAAGGGCTGTGTCTCCAGAAGCTGCAGGCTGACGCACCGCGCGGGTCAGAATCTGAGCGGCTGGTTCTCAGAATAGTTATCGTCATGTGATTGTACAACCTGGCACTTCCCAGTTCCCCTTTCCAGGGTGAGCGTTTTGCAGCCGCTTCCTGTTCTGTGTGGCAGTTTGTGACTTTCTGTCATTAGGAAACAACGTGACTATCCCTCGTTCTTGTGAAAGCTGGCCTAGCTGCAGCGTCGGAGCTGACAGTAGTAAATCCAATATCAGCTCCGACCACTGTTCTAATCCCAGACTGATCTGTTTTGGGGTTACGGGGATGAGAGGTGCCGCTTTTAACCCGCAGTGCGTCTTCTTTTGGAACTGCAACCAGCCATTAAACCTGGTGCTGCCTAACCCACCAGGAATCTTCCAGCACTGCGGAAATCGTTACAGCAGCATCGCCACAGTCAGGATGCTGGCGGAAAGATGGCTTGAGAGTGCTGCTCCACTCTGTTACTGATTTATAGAACTGAGGTTTTTCCCGGCTCTGGGGTGGACCGTGGATGAAGAATTGAAGGTCCCTGACTGCAAGTTACTCTGCTGTTGTTGCTGAATTCAGCTGTGAGTGCTGGGGAACTGAAGTTAGGGCACCCACAGAGGCAATGCCAATGCGCGTTTCCCACAGAAACACAACAGCTACGGCCCCAGGGAGGGGAAGCAGACTGCAGTGGGGATTGGCCGGAGTTGAGTGTAACGGTTTGAAACTACGCAGCAACTGAGTCCTGCTGTACAGCTCCTTGCTGAGCTCTCCAGGCGCTCTCAGAGAACAGCTGGTGTCTGTGGTGATGGATGAGGAGGTCAGAATTCCGTAGATCTGACTGCGGGAACTGTTGTCGCAGCTCTTAACGTTCGCAGGCTGAGGGCAAGGGCAGGCTGCTAGGCTCTCGCCCCTGCTCACCTGGCTGGGAGAGGTTTGGGGTCTGGTTACATTTGTGGCTGCGGGTGACAGGAACAAACCAGAGCGGGTAGCCTCAGTAACTTTTAAGTGATCTTTTTGCTTTCATGTGAGCTAAAACAGGAGGTCGTAGCTCTGCATCTGTCATGATGTGAAGAGGGAGAGAGGGAAGGTTATGACATACTGGAACTTTATTGTTGGGGTTTAGGAAATACTTGTTGGGGTTTAGGAAATACTTGTTGGGGTTTAGGAAATACTTGAGATCATTAGCTGACCGTGTCAGAAATCGGATGTCACAATGGACCGGCCAGCACCAGGCAGGCATCAGCTGCAGCACAGCACAGAAATCCTGCACGTAACCATTCTCTGAAGCCTGCCTTTCCTGAGCTAGGAAAGCACTCAGTGACAAAGCAAAGCATCTACATGCAGAAACTATGGAGAAGCAATGGTGCTGGTATAGATGGCTGGCTCCGGTCGTACGAGTCGGGAGAATCTGCCTAACCTTAACGTTTGAGCTGAGTAATATTTTTGTTTCAAGCTGTACAAACTGCTTTGGCCAGTACGTGGATCCACTCCTGAGGAAGATGCTGGTGTTGGCAAATCCAGGGGAGGGATAATTGAGCAAGTATTGATCTTTCTTTTAAGCCAGAATGAGGTCTAAGCATTAACCTTCAGGACAGCCTGTGCTGTGGAAGCTGCTGTGCGAGTGGAAGACGTTAGCTTTGTGTGGTAAATGCGCTCTGAGTTGCAGTGCAGGTACAGAGCCGACTGTCCTCCGCGGAAAGGGGCTGTAAATAACCGAATGCTGACACAGTGCCCAGGGGAGAGCGTTTCAGGCACTCAGGATTCATCATGAAAACTGGTCATAATTATATCCCACTGACCACAGTCAGTCTGCTACATGTGCTTTGTATCAGAAGTTTGGATTTTGGGAACCATTCCTTTCCTGCTTTGTCCAGTGCCGCATCAGGCCCAGTTATAAAACTACAGTGTCACTGCTTTTCTCTCTGCATTTGGATTAACTGTGTGTAAGGGATATCAGTTACCAGATGCATCAAGAAAAACATCACTTGGACTGTAGAAAAATTGTTAGGTTTGATTTTCTTTTGCAGAAGTTATGTTGGAGGTCTTGAAACTAGGAGGATTAGTTGGTTTCCTCTTTAGAGGCCCACCTGAAAGCAAGCAGCGTTGACACGTGGCCAGTGACCAACGAAGCAGTGGTGGCTAGAGATGCTTAGAGTTGCTCATTTCCTTAATTTCTTTGTTGGTGGGAATTTTTGGTGGGGCTTTTTTGTTCAGTTTTGGGTTTTTGGTGGGATTTTGGGGGCTTTTTTTTTGGTTGTGGGTTTTTTTTATTTTTAAATTAAAAGTTGCCCTATAGTTTAGAAGAGGAGAATTTAAGGCAGTTGAGATCCTCCTTGCACGCTGCAGTAGGTCATTCCATATTTTTACTGAAGCAGAAGCACTGCTGGATTGTTCCTCAGTGTTCGCGGAGAATGATGTGCTATCTCGTTCAGTTGGTGTGTGAGGCTTGAAGAATGGTGAACGGGCACTGGGGACTGGACACTGTGCCAGACAGTATGGTTGCTGTGACTGGGTACAGGGCTGGATACTGTGACACACACCACGCACGTGCATTGCTTTCCTGCCGCAGTTCCTGTGGGATGTTAATGGCCTTTCAGTCACAAACCAGTGACAACTGTGGTGTTACAGATTCTCCTACAAACTAGTTGATCTTTTTAATGTATTTCAAATTTTAACTTGCGTAATTTCTCTTGCATCACGTCTCATGAGTGATGCTGGGTCCCTGTGAGGCAGTACAGAATAAAGAGTGATGGTGAAAACCGAACAGGGTACTTCTGTGAACCAGGGATGTCTTTCTTTTCCCTGAAGAGACACCTTCTTCAAGCAGAAACCCAGCACAGCGAGCCGTGCTGACCTAACAGGGGGACAGATGTTCACCGGGGCCTTGTGGCACCTCAGGCAACCCAAATGTCTGTTTTTTTAAAGGTCAGAATGGCAATTTGTGTTCTGATAAGAGGCATTACGGCTGTGTTAAAATTTAAATTTGTGCTTTAATTACCCAGCAGTCATTCGAGGCTTAGACATGCATACAGCTGGATGCAGCAATTGCTGCGGCACTACTAATACATGAAGTTTCAGGTGGCTTAACCTGTTTTTACTAACATATTAGTTATTTCAGCTTCTGGGTGGACTATGGGACGCTAATCTGAGGGATTTGTCCAGAGAACTGACGAAATGAGAGAGAGTGCAGTGAAAAGAACAGCAGCCTCTCCAGGGAAGCTATGGGGTGTAGCATTGTATGACCTTTCTGTCCCTGCGCTGAACTCCGGAAGGTCACTGATGTAACGGGGCAGCTCAGCAAGGTGTCATTGTGTCAGATGCCGTGCTCAGCCCAAAACGCTTAAATCATTTCTGCACGACTCTAAATTAAACTCCTCAGTGCATTGAACCAGATTAAATTCTAATGGACAGGCTTCATTTTCTTCAGCAACTGAATGACTTGGGTTTAATCTTTTCCAGGTCAAAGATCGGGGTCCAGAAGCCACAAGAAGATTTTTTAATTGGTTTTATTGGAGCATTAATTTGGGAGCTATTCTCTCTCTGGGAGGCATTGCGTACATCCAACAGAACGTGAGCTTTGTCATTGGATACAGCATCCCAACAGTTTGCATCGGGATTTCATTCACGGTTTTCTTGTGTGGCCAGAGTTTCTTCATCACAAAGCCGCCTGATGGTAGTGCCTTCACAGACATGTTCAAAATTCTCGCATATTCGTGTTGCTCAAGAAAGAGACGTGTGGAGTGTTCAACTAGCAGGTTTGTAATGAGCTCTTTAGTCTGAATCCAGTGAATCAGCCCAGGAGTTGGAGCCATAGTTCAAAGTGGCAGTCAGTCACACTAGAGAGTCACTGGAATGTGCAGTTCTGCTTTGAGAACTGTAAGATTGGTGTCCTGGAGGTATTTTCTGTTTCCAACCAGTTCTCTACCCGATTTCTGAAGTGATTCTAACCACTGACCAAGAGGTTGCTCCGCTCTCGAGAGATGCCAGTGGAATTTAGTCACTGGTACAGGAGATGTCAGGTGCCTCCTCTGCGGTGGGCTTCACGTATTCAGGCTGCAAAACCATCAGTGGACTGGAACAACCTCTGATTTGTGATACTGTTCCTGAAGTTCTGCGTTTTGCTGTGCCGGTTACCTGTGCGTGGTGGGGGGAGGGTGGGAGATAAGGAAGTCTCTGGAATGGGAGTTTTCAGCTTGTGCTTTCAACTGCTGGTGATCCCTTCCGGCCTAGTTCTGCTGTTAGGAGTAACTTATTTTGGAATTTGTGAGCTTTTTATAGTGACAGGAATTGCCACAAGATAGCCAATGAAGTCAGTTTTTGTTGTTTAACTGAACGTCTCAAATTCTTTTCAACAGTGAGGGCCAGGGAGTACTTCAGCAGCCGTGCAAGCAGAGCCTCTTTGAGATGGCCAAGCTGTCTCGTGGGGGCCCATTCAGGGAAGATAAAGTAGAAGATGTGAAAGCTCTCGTCAAGATTATCCCGGTCTTTTTGGCTTTAATACCTTACTGGACAGTGTATTTCCAAGTGAGTAGTTCCACATGTCTAAACCCTTGATTTCTAAAGTGAGGATCCTACCTGCTTCCAGCTGTGTGTGAAAGGGCTCAGGGCTGCACGTTACAGTTTGAGCTGTGTTAGAACCCAGCTCCTTCCTGAATGTCATCCCCAGGGCAGTTACCTGGAGGAAACGCACACGAGCGTTTTGGGGGAAACCGTTCATAAGGTTACTTACGGGTAGAGGCAGTAGCTGTGATTCTACAGAGATGAAAATTGGGGTTTTTCAGAACTTGGGTGTTGACTGTTTGATGTCTTTAATACCCTTACGTTCGGTGACACAAACTACTTTTCTTTTACACACCTGAGGTTCAAAACCGTTGAAACAATCACGTTAGCAAAACCGGTACCATGTGGTGGTAGCTTTTTCTGGCCTTTTTAATTCGCTGGGTAGAATGGTTGTGGAAACCTGTATTACCTTACCAGTATGCCAAAGTATCCAATTTCACATTTTTCTGGGGGCTCTTTCATAAGTATGAAACTTATCCTGAAGCTGAGAGATGAAAGATGGCAATTAAGGATGCTTTCAGATCATACTGTGACTTAATAATAAAAAAGACAACAAAATAATTGAAATTTAAAACTAACAGGTGTACAAATGAATGTACCTTAAACATTGCACTCTGTTTCATCTTGTAGTTGATTCAGCTAGGTCAGGGTAAGTGGTCTAAATTTCATTTTAATTAATTCCTTTCTGGTTCTTCTGTCTTGGTGAGATGAAGCAGGATAGCAAATAAGTTTGGGGGAGAAAAATGCAGAAATTGTTCTTCAAGTCACATGAATTGTTCTCTGTGCTTTGAGTAAAATTAAACGTGGCTGTTAGAACATCACAAGCTTTTTTAACAAGAAGTCTTTTTGTTTTGCTATGTTGGCACTTCGCCTCAGGTACAATCTCTGTTAGTTATTAAAACTGTGAAAGTATCTTGCTGTCAGTGCTCCTTGTCCAAGTCATCTCACCTCATCTTTCCTAATGCTAGATGCAGACAACGTATGTATTGCAAAGCCTCCACCTGAAGATTCCTGAAATATCAAACGACACCAACGCCGTTCATACGGTAAGTAGGGCAAAACAAGGGAAGGGTTTGTTTTCTCCTGCTGAGATGCACATAGTTAAGTATTGGACAAAAATTCCAGAAGGTTAAGAGAGTGGCTGAAGGGAATCTGGCCACAGACGTGAGGCGTTTGGACGCGTGACGCATGATCCAGAGATCTGGGCATATCGACCGGTATACGGGGTTCTCACCTTCCGTTTTGAACGTGTGCAGACAGTTCTGACCGCTCTGGTGACGAGCGTCTCCGTCCTTTAGCAGGCAAAGTGCAATTGGTGAGGAAAACCTACAGACCATATGCCCTAAGTTTTCAAGGTTGTAAGCAGTACAGAAGCATTCCTACAAAATCCCTAGGGATACCCACACCTGACTGGAATGTTTGGGTTTGAGAGACATTGTAACTTCATGCTGCTTGGTCAGTACCACTTCCCCTTGGATCAGGTCAGCGCGCTGAAGGATGTTGGTCCCTCAGTACTGTCAGAGGGCTGGCACCGTGTGGGGCCGCAGTGGTGCTGAAATAAACAGGAATCCATCAGTGTCCACTGTTAACAGCCTTACTGAATGTTCTTTTAGACTGGTTCTTCTGCTTCCTTGCAAACAGTATCACTAAGACAGACCAGCTGCACTCTGTTCTTTACAGATCAAAAATTAACAAAGCTTCTACTTCATTTTTCTTTGAACTTGGTTGCAGAGGAGCAGCTTCTGAGTCACCGCTGAAGGCTCGGTGGAGGTTAGTGATAGTGGCCAGGTCAGGCCCCTGAACCAACCAAATGCCAGCTACTTACTGTACACAGTTAAAAATAGTAAAGAGAGTCCTGTCACTTTGTATTACATTAGTAAAACTCTGTTTCTACTGTTCTGTGGCATATTTCCCCCAGTTCTAAGCCTAACAACAGACGTTCTCCAGAACCTGGCTATTAGATATTGTTCATGACTGAAGTAGGGAGACAGTTTCATTCTGTCAGACTAGAGCATACCATGGGAGCCAAACAGCAGGGACTATTCAGTTGCATCAAATCCTTCGGACTTGAGGGCACCATCAGACAGGTGTCTCAGACCAAAAGCTCCCAAAGGATGGCAGTGAGCTCTCCATGAGACCTGTTCCAGGATGTCTGCAGAAAACCTCAGACATTCCCATATTGCTGACGGCCATCTCCTCTCCCAAGAGGAATTCGGTCGGTTTGCGTTGGATAGTTAACCTTTGCTTAACAAAAATCAGTTTGGAGTAAGGACCTAAAATACGAGCCTTGTGAGACTCGGAGATCTGTTGACTAATTGCTGATCTGTCCTTTCAGTTTCCCGCAGCCTGGCTGACCATGTTTGATGCAGTGCTTATTCTGATCCTAATACCCCTAAAAGATAAATTGGTGGACCCCATTTTAAAGAGGAATGGCTTGCTGCCCTCCTCCCTGAAGAGGATCGCAGTTGGAATGTTCTTTGTAATGTGCTCTGCATTCGCTGCAGGTAAGACAGCAACTTTCAGACCTACCTACGTAGTCATTTCCTCAGCAACTTGCAACAACATTTTTAAAAAACCCTTTGTGAATCTTTCCCTCAGGATTATCAGGGGTGTTTTCCATGGGCTCAGCTAGAACACAGCTGCATGGCTGTACCTCCCACAACGACAGAGATTTTACCCAAAAACTCCCTAAACTGTTTTGAATGTTTGTGATAAAACTGGACCATTTTTCCTGCCTGACACAGACTCTGAGTACACCTTTCAACCCAGCTTCTTAGTTAAGGGTTTCACACTCAGTGTGACTCTCTAGGGTGCTTGCTAGCAGAGAACTAGTTGTTTTCGGAGCCTGTTTTCTCAACAAACGCCTTAGCCAGACACTGATCCTGAAGCTTGCCTGATCAAAGTGTCCATATAGGCTGTTAGTCCTCCTAAAATACACTTTAGGGTATTCTGAAAGTCCCTGTTGCCTGATTTCTTAACACTTTATCTTGAAATTGAAAATTATTTATCCTAAAAACCAAAATAGTTCAGAAATAAGTATGTTTCTTCATATGGCCTGACTTCAAATTATTAAAAAAGTGAAATTTTACCTAAAATCCTTTCCCTTTCTCTGAAATAACCAAGTTAGGCTCTGGCTCAACAAGTTTTCTCCCACTTTGGGTTCTTTCTCCTCGTCCTTAATGTCCCCTAATGTTTGGGAATGACTGTAGTGTAAAATAGTTTAGCTGTAGCACAAAAGGGAAAAGATGGCAACTCTGTTCAAACCATAAATCAGCTGCTTTTGAGATGGTTTGAGGTTGTTAAGCACTGCTGATGTGGAACTGAACATCTCTGAGCAATGGCTCATAGAACCTATCGCCTTCACCAGGTAGCACTGTAATGAACTTATTGATAAAGCATTATGGCATGAAATAAATTGATTTCAGCACTTGTAATCTGCTGGGTGTTAGAGAGAGGGACACTTTACACGGCTATTGAGATTCCTCTCAACGAGAGAGGCAATTACCTTATTAGGCCAAGGTCACTTTGTATGTGGGGGAGTAAAGTTCTTAAAGCAAAGTCATTGAAACTTAAAATAGGAATTCGCTTATTCCATGTTACTTAGGACACTGCTACCAGCACAAGAAGATGATGTGAAACAGTTAAATGTCAGCTCTTGAAACAAGCGGCTGGCTCACACGTGGGTGGGTAGAAAAGCCTATCGAGCTATGGCAGGTGTGTTGGGAAACGATTTCCGATAGCAGAATTCTTAAAAACCTCAAATGCTGCTTGTCTTCTATTCACCTGCAAACGTAACGCGGGATTTTGTGGGTCTGAGCCTCCCTAAGCTTTCCACAGTAGAAACTGAGAAGGTGAGCTCTTCGTGTGGTTACCTGCCGTCTGGCTGGACCGTCCAGCCTCACGGAGTAACAGCGCCCGTTGTTCACAGCGTGAATTCAGGGGCTTCTGTTGCGGCAATCTGGGGCATAGGAAGCTCCCTTCACTTCCAGTGGGGGGAAGAGTCTGTTGCTTATGTTTCATAAAATGTTGTTTTCTAATTAAATGATATTTATACAAGCTGTATTTTTATGTTCTTAAAAGACAACGTTACTTCCAACCATTTCTGCCGTAGAGAGGGATAGCGATTGAAGTCGTGAATGTGTGAAGACGTTACTTCCAAGACTGCAAGTGAAGATATCTCAGTGATCTGTGCCATATTTCCATGTTAACCTATCTATCTGGCCTTAGTCCTGGACACGGTTTAGGCTGCCTATTAGATTGCTTAGATTATTTTAAATGTCTTAAAACCGGTGAGAATACAAGCGATTGGGTTTAATGAACATCTGCCGTGCTTCGTGCATCTCATCGTAAATTCTGAGCGGCAGTATTTAGGTTATTCAGCTGGAAAATCCACTTCATTTGTAGAGTTTCAACCATTATAGCAAGGGCTTGAGATTCTTTCAACTACTAGAACTGTGACATTAAGCCTGAGGCTTGTCTATCAAAGTGTGCGAAAGAATCGATAGATTCCAGAATCTGAAGTACTCAGCTTTGAAGATAAACTTAGAGCTAAGTTTGCGATGTCATGGTTATGCTCCCACGCGGCTAAATGCTTGTGTCGTGACGAGTAGCAAACGCTAAGGATCAGGAGAGGTTCTGAGGGGCAGCAATTTTGTGTCGAATGTGTATGAATGAAATGATGTCGGAACTCTTAGCTGACTGTACTGCTTTGTTTACACTGTAGTTAAGTTCCACTCTGAAATGTTTGTTGGCTATATTAAAACCAAAACGTCAAGAAACCCAGCTTTATGTTAACTACATCAACTCTTCATAGCTCAGAGGGCACTGAGGTGACTGAGAAACTAAACAGACATAGGGTGGGTAAGTGGTCACCTAAAAAGAAGCGAAGAAGGTAGAGAACATGTGGTGGCCTGGCACTAAGAGGTACTAAGCCCAGAGCAGTCTTTACGTCAAACCCAGGTTATTAAGGAAAACGCTCCCTACTGGGGCCTGAAGGTGCATTTCAACGAACTGCCTCTGGGAGGAAGGAGCCAGGGGAGCAGATGTAAGCTGCTGTACCTGGTGTGACACCCATGAGGCATCGTGTTTGGCATCTAAGCCTTGTACAATTTTTTTTGGTAACAGGAGTGATACCTTGTGCCCCAAGGTTGGGTCAGATCTTGGCTCAGTGAGTAGAAAGAGATGGAACCTGGCAGGCACTAAAGGGGGCCCGTGTGTGTAACAGGGATTATAGGGAATGGTGTTGTTGGAGCAGCCTTCCTCCTCTGAACTGGTGATGAATAAATCCACCTTATTTCCAGGGATCCTGAGAGTTCTTTTCTGGGATGAAGCAGGAAGATTTACTGAGTATTAGCTATTCTGAGTACTTTATGTAACAGGGAAAATCGTGTAATCTGGGCAACTTCACCAAAAACCCTACAACATTATGCGATACTTCTACTGCAAACTGTTGTGTTGGGCAAGCTAAAAGCTGTTGTGTTTTACACCATCACATCTATTTTTCATTATCATGGAGCGCTTTCTATGCAATGTGTTGCCTGTAAATCCAGGGCTAATGAGCTTTTGGATCTCCTGGGATGGTAAGCGTCATATACATGTCACGATCAGACTGATAGAGGGTTTTCATAGTTCTGCAGCGCTAGTGCAGCCGTTCGATAAGCGCAGTGTTTTCTAATTTATTAATACTCTGGGGGCAGATGCAGTGGTTTAACTCCGCAAAGCAGGAGTTCGTGAAAACGGGATCGCCTTTACAGAACCAACCTAGTTTGTATGAGAAAGCTCTTGGCTAATCCATCTGGAAAATGGTTACGTATTTGTATAATTATTGCTACTGAGAAAGAATACAATCCCTAATTGTATGGCAGAACAACTGTACATGTTGAAATAACAATGGAAAAGTAGTCTGAAACGCTCTACGTTAGGAAATGAAGAAGGTATTCCAGGTTTATAAATTGTAATTGCAGTGCAGGACTGAATCCTAATTTAACTTTTGAAATGAAGAAACAGTATTGCATCTTAGGTCAATCTCTCTTTTTGCCTTTTCCCCCCCCCCCCCCCCGTAGGAATCCTGGAAAGCAACAGACTGAAAATTGTAAAGGTTAAAACGATTAATCAGACAATTGGGAACGTCACGTACCACGCTGCAGACATGCCGATATGGTGGCAAGTTCCTCAGTATGTCCTCATTGGCTTCAGTGAAATATTTGCAAGCATCGCAGGTAAGAGCCTCGGCGTGTTGACGTCTGCCTTCGTCTCCCTGACGGATCCTTTGGAAAGAAATATTTACCTCAAGTCATTACAGCTCCCTCAGTAGTCCCCAGTACGGTACTACAGGAGGCAGCTCGGTCTAAGCAGGGACGCACACGATTGTCTGTCCCATTTGAAAATTGGCTGTGTGAGAGAATGTTTTCAGGGCTGAATTTCAAGCAGAGCGACGTGTGTGTCATCCAGTTAGCACTGGATGTTTGCCAGCCCTGGTGGAAACAACGTGCCCTGTCAGTACTGCCTTTCAAAGAACGGTTTAATGCAGCATTCCTTCCTCCGCTGCTTCCTCTGGGCTGCAGATAAAATTTCTGCTGTGTAATTGGCCCAAAAACTGAGCGCACTGTTTAGAAAGTCACTAAGTGGAAACACCTTTCTGGGTGAAAAAGGGAAGAGAGAGACCACCTTTAGAAAGATCTATCACCAGTTTAAATTCATGTTACTTGAGTTTTTACATTTCCGAAATAAGAAAGGTTACGTGACACTCAACCCAAACTACTTCTTTTGTGAGTATTAATAATGAAGCAGGTAGTTTTTACACAGTTTTATCTGCTTTATTTCAAAGTCAGTTGTTTTAGTACTCCAGTGTGATAGTGGGCAAACTGAAACATGCTCAAAGAGATTTTAAACTTCGTAACACTGCTCTGTGTGACATAGTGGACAGCTGTGTGACCCTATTGATTTTTAAGCTGAAAGCGAAGTGAGAGGAGAGGGTGAACAGGGCTATAAAATCTTATTTTCTGGTCTGTTTGCTGTACACGCAGGGCTCGTTAGCAGGAGGAGAGCACGGCAGTGTATCTGTTGGCACTGCAGTAGGCCTAGCACTGGTTTACTGTGGTTAAACAAGTACAATGCCGCTGTGACTCTTAGCATAGTGTTTACCTACTCCGTGCTTGGAGCAATGCTTACTTACCCGAAACAGAAACCCCTCGTGATCCAGAAGTAGCTCTTCTCATACTACTCACATGGAATTGCAGAGCTGCCTGACGTAATGTATTGGAACTCCTCCAGTGACTCGATTTAAAACTCATTTAGTATTTGCTTAACTAGAGTTACTTATTAATGTGCTGAAATACTGTTCCAGAATGTTGAACTTGGAAGATCATCCATTCAAATGGGCATGACATACAGCTCTTCTTCCTCTGTTCCTCAGGATGGAATTTTCTGGTCTCGTTTCCCTGCAGGAGGTTTCTCTCGTTCCTCACACTGGGCAGGCACAGCGGGCTGAAATGAGATTCTCTAACTGTAAAATCTTGCTGGTGGTAGCCCCAGCTGCCACATGGCCCATTTGTTCCCCTCTGAGTGGAAATAGAACTCAGTCCACCAGGATTCTGGTTACGTGTGTATTGCCACCACAGTCAGGAAATAAAACCGGGGGGTTGGATTGCTTGGCAGGTAGAAGAAATTGTGGGTTTCTTGGTTTGGGGTCTTTTTTCTATCTGCTCATTTGCTCTTCCAGCTGCCCGGCCTGGGATTTCACGTGAGTGGAAGAATTAGACAGGTCCATCACATATTAAACTCTTCCTTAGTTACTTACTCAGTCGGAGGAATTCTTTTAGCTATGGCTTTGTCTTGTGTGTGTTTGGGGTACGCATCCGCGTGCACCACTGGCATACTCTTCCCTGCGTGGTAGGTCAGCGTCCCACATCAGGTGGTTGTGGGGAGTGTCCCAGTTGCCATGTGGATGCAGAGCTCCCCAGCACACAGCTGGACACCAGTCCTAGCACACCCTCTTGTGACTGCAGCACAAGGTCGGACACCAGGTCCTGCTGCGTTGTGCCAGCGGCAATCCTAGTCCTTCCCCTTTGGTACCGCAGCGGTGTCGGGGGTGAATCGGTCAGTGGCTGAAGGGCTGTGGTCACTGTCTGACACCTGAGATGGGTCCCACTCCTGTTTCTGCCCCCTTCCCTCCCCCCCAGTGATGTATAGGCAAGGCCTTGAATTAATTTGCTTCAGTAAACAACCAGTAAGGTGGGGGGAGCGCATTGTCTTTAAAGCACACTACGACCCAGGATGCTAAAGGCTTTAGGTTCTTACATGGGCAGCACGGCTCAGCACGGCAGTCAGTGGGGATCCCTGGCTAGAGGACGTACCCGCACCGTCACTGCTTCCTTCTGTTGTCTGTGAACAGTAGCCATCGCTACCCCTAGCACAGAAAACTCCCAAGGTGGAGGTCTTGCTTAACTCAGTTACTCACTTATACGAAGCCTGCATTTAGCATTTTTATCAACAGATAAAATGAGTTGCTTACCTTTTGTTACAGCTTTAGGGATTGTGCCAGTTCAACCTGAACTCAGGTAAACAGCTGACTTAGCAGAAACGCAGGTGTTTGTGCCAGGATAAATTCTTCCCCCTTACACACCCGTGTTCCCCTGCCAGGCACCAGTGCTGGGTGTTTGCACGGGAACAACGAACCCATCCGCAGCTCGAGAAAAGGTCGACGCATTCTCTGTTGAACTCCAGACTGACAGGCTGGGTTTTCCAGCTGCCTTCGGTGACTTCTTCCCGAGAAGTCAAGTCTGTAGGGCCTGTACTATCCTTCTGTGACTGTTCTGCACGTGCTGGGTCTCTACCAGTGGCTTTGTAACTTCAAAAACTGTTGGTCAGTGTTAGGAAAAATGCAAATGCTTCTCTCTCTTTGATCCAGAAATTTCATGCACATCTCAGTTGCTGCGTGTGTTACACTTCATTTGCCCTGCCTTCTGGTGGTTACCTGAACTTTTGGTGTCTTTAAGAAGGCCCCTCAAGACTTCAGAGAGCACACTTGTCCCATTTGATATTAAAAGTTCATAAAGGCCTCTGTTGTGCATGAAATTCACCTTTAAGATAAGCAAAGTGTTAATGGTTACAAACTGGGATTTGGGAATGTTTATTGTGAACAAAAAGGGACTACATATCCTAAAGAGCAGAAGCATCCTTTTTGGTTTACTGTAAAACTAAGCATATTCTTATTAAGCCACATTAGTTACACCTGAGGTACGTTTAATGCAGTGTGTGTGTGTCATCTTTTTAATCTTTTGTATTATTCTGTCAACCCTCTCAGGGCACCCTCGTTTAACTGGGAGTCAGAATCTCACATGACAACACCAACCAAGGGGCTTAATTTCAGAACCGCCTGTGTGAGGCGGCAGGAAGTCGTTACCAACGGCTGCCAGCAGGCAAACCTACCTCTGAAGGCCAAGGGAAGGTTTTCTGTTCCTTGTGCCAGGTGGAACGTCAGGGTTGCTGGAAACACAATTCAAGTTTAGAAACGCGCCTTGTTTCGTTGCAGAAAGTGCGGAGTGTTACACCCACGTGGGTTTTCATTTGGGGTCTCAAGATCTTTTTTTTACAGCACTCGTGTCCAGGATGCCTGTAAAACGAGGACAAGAAATGGGCCAGATCCTCTCAGGTGATAAACTTGAGCTTAGCTTGTATGGACTGTACAGGAGCCTGGAGACCAAAGTGACCTGTGCAGCCACAGTATCTGAGCAGGAGGTTACAAACCAAGCTCTGTGTCCTGAGAGCAGTCTGCGGGGCTTCTTCTTTTAGTCAGATTATCACAGAATCACAGAATGGTTTGGGTTGGAAGGGACCTTAAAGATTATCTAGTTCCAACCCCCCTACCATGGGCAGGGACACCTTGCACTAGCCCAGGTTGCTCCAAGCCTCATCCAGCCTGGCCTTGGACACTTCCAGGGATGGGGCATCCACAGCTTCTCTGGGCAACCTGTCCCAGTGCCTCCCCACCCTCTGTGGGAAGAACTTCTTCCTGATATCTAATCTAAACCTCCCTGCTTTCAGATTGGCCAGATAAACACTCCTGGAGAAATCTGAATTGTTCTATTAGTGGCAAAGCCTGTAAAAAAATATGAGTTTCTAATTCTCAAAATAAACATGATTGTGTCCCTCCCCTCCCTCGTTTCAGATGTGGCTCCCCCTCTGTAGCGACCCTCTCGTTGCAGTCTGAGTTTACAGGCACCCACCAGCTGCCTTGGACTCCGAAGGTTGCGGTTCCCTGCCAGAATCTGTGCGGAGGAGAGGCGGCGCGTGGGCTGGCGGTGGCGGCTTGGGTGGCGGGAGCATGCGGGCGCAGTTGCTCCCTCACACCAGGCAAATTGACCCACCTGGGCTGTTTCGTGGGAAGAAATGCCAGTGTGTTTCCGTTAAACGCGGTCCGGAGCCACAAAAGCCAAGTACTGTGACAGTGAGAGTCGTAGCTTTGCTACGCCAGATTGGTGCCGTTTTCAGGTCTGTAACACCCTTGGCCAAGGAAATCGGTAGCTGAGGTGGCACTGATTTCCGGCACGACGCAGACCGGTTTGAAACAAGCATTGCACCTGTCAGAGCAAAAGCTCTGCAAAGAGTGTGCTTGGCCGTCCCTTGTGAATAAGCCCACTGGAGCATTGTGCTAAGAAGGAGAGTGAGCCACGGCGTCGGTCTTGGCAAGGCAGGGCCTGATGCAGCATGTTCAGGCGGTACTAACGTTCCGTGGCACAGATTTACAGGCTGCTGCCCCTGCTGTGTTTGTCTTGGGTTTACCGGGTGAAACTTGAGTAAGGATCAAGTTTAAGTTACATTTCTACAAGCCTTAAAAAGAACAGACCTTAAAGCAATGAGCTCAGAAAACTCCAGATCATAATTAAATTAAAACTAATTACAGCCTTCCTGGCTACAATTAATGTATCCGTCTGTGCATTCGGGGACACCGAGTCGGTGAAGAACAGATGTGCAGTGCGAGAGTGACCCTCCGTTCCCGAGTGCCTTGCTCTCACAGGGAATGTCGCGTGCTCCGCAGAAACCAGTGAAACGGGCAACACCAAACTTGCCAGGGCAGAGTTCGCTTAATAAATTTCTTTGAGGGTAACTCCAGAGAGAAAAATGAATATGCTGCCTCAGGTTTCTTGATTTTACACATGCAGCATTAATAAGATCACAGTGCTTGTCTCAGATATTGTCCATTCAGTGGGCTGAAATATTGGTGACCTTTACTAGGGTTTGTGGGAGATGATGGGGATTCCCTACCTCCATCCCCTGTCTCTGGGAATCCAAGGCTAGTTTTAGGTCTTTAACATCCCAGAAGTAGTATAACCTGTAACTCCTCTAATGCTGAACGAGAACAAACTGTGATTGCTTCCTAGATCTCCCAACAGCATTGTTTTTTACTCTTTTAATACAGGTCTAGAATTCGCATACTCCGCTGCTCCCAAATCCATGCAGAGTGCTATTATGGGGCTGTTTTTCTTCTTTTCGGGGATCGGATCATTTGTTGGCTCTGGCTTGCTGGCACTGGTGTCAATTAAAGGAATTGGCTGGATGAGCAATCACACAGATTTTGGTAAGTTCTGTCAGCGCATTCGTAGCCTGTGACGACACGCACAACTGTTGCTTACATGTAACTGGGGGCTGTCCTGACGAGAGCATGGCACACACACAGGTAGGATTTTGCCTCGGGTCTGCCAGTTCCCTGCTCAGCCGTTACTGCATTTCATCACTGGAAACTAACTGCAGGTGTCTGTATTTTAATCAACAAAAAAAGTTATGTCTGGAAGAAGAATATATTTGGTATAAAGTACTGAAATTACTTTCTGGGGTGTGGGGAGTAAGACGCACCCAGGTCTCTCCTAGCGATGATCCGGTGACCTGGTCTCGAGAGACGATGGAGATTACCACGAGTCAGTCTGCATCTCTGCTGCCTGCTCATACCCTTCCAGGGTCCAAGGGATCGTCTGGCTCCTGTTGCCAGTCGAAGTTAAAAGTCATTATTGGCACCAGTAGGTGGCACCTCGGGAATTTCGGGAAATCACACCATGGCCAGGGCTAATTGAGGTGGGAGAAGTTCCGACAGCGCGTGCTAGACCTGCTGCCTGCCCACGGCTTTGCGGCGCAGCTCTGGGGGCGTTTGCCGGCTGCCGAAAGTAACGTCGCCTGGAGCAGCACGTGTGCCACGAGCTGTCGTTTGTGGTTTATAGGTGGCTCGTTGAAACTGCCAAAGGTGACACGCAGCCACAAGGCTCTGGGAGTGCCCTCAGCATGTGACAGCCGGCACACTGGGACTCCTCCCCAGTGGGTCCCACCAGGAGAGGTTTCCTGAGGCAGCCTGCGAGAAGGCTGTTCTCTCTAAGGTACTTGGGTTGTGCTAATTACACCCAGAGCTGGAGGATGTTACCTTTTCTGACTCCTCGGTCCTCTGTTCCGGATAAGCCACTCAGCGGGTGTCCTTGGACAGCCGGATCGTCCTACCCTCTTAGTCCAAAGCCTTGATCAAGCCTTCTCAGCAGCTCTGCATCTGGCTTCAGGCTGAGGCGCTCCGTGGTTTTGGTTTGTAGCATCGACCGCAGCCTGTTTGCATCAGGGGAGTGGATGGGGCTCCCTCCTCTGCTCGGTTCTCGTTCGCTGTGACATCGTTGAGAGTTACCGAATCTGCATCCAGCATTCATGTGGACCTTCCAGGCAGGGCCTGTAAATTTGCTCTGTCCAGACTAAAACCAGCCCAGGAGTCTTTGGGAGTGACTGTCCGGGATTCCTCAGCAGCTGCTGCTCAGCAGCTGTCAGCACGTGCACCAAGTGTCTGCTCTTTCTGGTCACTCGTCCTGGCCTTTGAGGTAACCGTCTGCTGCCAGAATCCACCCAAGACTTCCCTGGCGCTCGGTGCTGATTGCTATTGCAGGGACTGTTATTTCTGTGACAAAAACGGAGATCTCACGGGCTTAATGCCCCACCTCATAAAGGATAATTACTACTCTTTAAACACGTCTGCTCTTGAAATGGAGATTCACACGTATATTGTATTTTAAATGTCATGGAGAGACCCAGTTTAATTTTATTGCGTTTTATTATCAGTTCATTTAATTGAATCTTAAGTTTCAGTAATTAAAGTAATTTAATCTGAACATTTATAGGCATGCTGCATGAACAGCTTGTTAGGATCGATGTATACTTCTCTGTTTTTTTGCTCTCTCTAACCTTTTTGATAATCATAATGGTCCCATTGGCTGTGGCTCACGTGGCATGTTGGAAACGAGCCACGATCTACTGTTCTTGGAAGTACAGCCACAGTTCGTGCACATTTCTTCATAGGGGAGTAAGGCTTTAGCCATGAGCTTTCTTGATCTAACGCTGTTTAAGGTGGTACGAATCACTAACCTGTAACAACTTGGGGGGAGTGTCAGAGGTGAACTGACCCAAAAAAGGAACCAGGTATGGTTTTATGAGTTCTAAACTTTGTTTCAAAAGGTGGCTGAGAGAAACGCTCAGCAACTCCTTTCTTTAGGCCTATGGAGTTGCCAAACTTCTTCCCTAATAGCATTATGTTTTGATTCTTTTTCTCCTACCTTTGGGCAGAGGAGGGAGGTGCAGGCCCCCTGGTGCAGAGACCAATCAGCGGCCCCATCAACCCTGCTTGATGCTGAGTCCCTCCTGTCTGTAGCACAAACCCCACCTGTTACCTGTTTTGGTTACGCTGCAGAACCTAACAGACTCCTTTTTCCTCGACTAAAGCCTTTTGGTTGTGCTAAAGATTTTTGGGGTGACGATGGTGAAGGCAGTAAGCGCCCGGCCTGCGCGTCGCTTCACTTGGATCTCGAGCGGCTCTTCTGAACCATCTGCCGTTCGGGGCCGGGCTTGCAGAAATTCCCTTCTCAAGTCCATTGGGTGGCTACGGCACAGGGACGCTTCCTGGTTTTGCTTTTGCAGTGAGTTGTCTCCTCAGAAGAGAGAAACCTCTGTTACTTCCAGCACAAAGAGAGCGCACCGTACACAGAACTCCACGCTGTGGTTTTTAGCTTTGGCTGGTCCGGAAAGCACTGCAGTTTTGAAGAAAAAGAGACGGAGGGGAAAGAAAGGGAGACGGTTAGCTTCTCCGCCTATTAGCAGTGTTTTGGCTGTCCTAAGCGTGCCCGCCTGCGCCGTGCGCGCAGCCCGTTCACACAAGGCCCTCACAGGGCGGGAGGAGCTCCCGGCACGAAGCGACGCAGGAGCCACGTCTCGGTTCTGCAGGGCCGTGACGTGGTTTCGGGCACTGAAGCACAGAGGGGAGCAATCCCTGTGCTGCGCGCGTCTTCCTCAAGTCCCACCCCTCGCTCTGGGTCGTTCAAATGACACTGCGCTGGCAGGCAGAAGTGCGATTCGGTTTGGTTTTCCCCATGTTTTCCAGAAAAATCCTCACTAGAGCTTTGAAGGGCTTGACATTTGTGTAATCTCTATTAATATTTGTCTTTTTCTCCCCAATTCTTTCCAGGTAATATTAACGGCTGCCAACTAAACTATTACTTCTTTTTGCTGGCTGCTATCCAAGGAGCGACCCTCCTGCTTTTCCTTATTGTTTCTGTGAAATACGACCATCAGAAATCGAAGATTAACGAAGCGGCTGCCAACGGGAGGATCTGAGATCGGCCCCAGAGCAGACTAGTGCAGCAGCACCCAGGGAAGCGGCAGCGCAGCCCGAGCCGGCGGGATCTTCGTTTTCTCCAGTGAGACTCTTTCTAGACTTGCGTGTTACGGGCGTCCTAGCCCCCGCCCCCCTGACGTGCCCTAGGTAAGTGCCTTATCTTGGCGGGGCTCCTTCCTTGCGCCGCGTCCCGCGGAGGACAAACATGAGGCTCGGAAGCGTGTTAACTCCGGGCGTTCAAGTCACTCTTCGTTGATCGTGAGATGTTTGCTCAGCTCCTGAAGGTTGGGACATTCCCACCTCGAACTGGAGTGTAGGGAGTCAGGTGTGACACGGATCGTTCCCGACCAGAGAGCTCCGCAGTGAAGAAGAGCGGATCTAGAGCAACACTCAGTCTCACGCCAACGCTGAGGACACAGGAAATGAAAAAGCCTACAGAAACCTCAAGTAGTTGTTACAAGAATAAACTTTCAATCCTGAGAGTCACTTTTGGGGGAAGAAAGAGGGAGAAGTTGCAGATGAGCTCAGATTACAAGGAAACGTAGTTTAAGAACTGACCTTTCTCTGGCAGCGTCGCAAGGATTTAAGCCCGGACTGGCAGTCCGTACCCGACACCGAGGACTGACCCACGCGCCACAGAGCTTGTCACGCAGCTGCTGGTGTGTGATGAACGCTCGCTGGGCTGGAGGGCTTCACTTCCTAAGCATCCGTATCTTTGGATCTGCATTAGGTGTGTCAGGACAACACGGAAACCGGCATCGCTCGGCACGGCTCCGTTCAGTCCAGCGCTCTTACTTCCCAGGGGAAGGCTGAACATGGGCGGGAAGAAAACGGAGACTGAGTTCTCGGGCGGGGAACGCATGACAACAGCTCAGAAGCCTTCCAGCCCGTTCTTTGGGTCTCGTGTCTTACCTCCAGCTAACACGCTGCAGGGTTGGCATCTTCCCGCAGCACGTTCCTAGAGCAGAGCACGGGGGTTTGTGTTCAGCCCCTTGGATCTTAAGGATGCCGACAGCTGTCCATCAGGTCGTGGGCAGGGTGGTGTGGAAGGCGCGAGGAACGATGCGGGAAGAAAACAGAACCTCAGCTTTTTATTAATGTGTTGAGTTTTTATAGTTCCTTTGTCTGCATTTACGTTGTTAAAATGTCCTTTTGTACCCGGGCATCTTTTTAATGAGTTTACAAAATAAAATGAACTTCCATGCTGTGACCTGTGACTCGGTCTCCAGGCACATACAGTTCTACTACAGACATAGTTGTGAAACAGCCTTCCCAGGGCCCCTGCAAGGCAGAGTCTCGCGGCGTATGCGGGGCTGCCTGGTGGGTGTACAGCTCCCACCATCGTTGGGAGATCGTCGTGAGGGATGAAAACCATCGGTTTTACAACCATGGAATTGGGAATTAGTTGCAGCCCACCCCCCTACCTTCATTCTGCGGAGGCAGTAGTAAAGCTTGAAAAAGGAGGTAAAAGGCTGAGAGTGTTGGGGTGTTCAGCCTGGAGAAGGGAAGCTCTGGGGAGACCTTATAGCACCTTCCAGTGCCTGGGGGGGCTACAAGGAAGCTGGGGGGGACTTTTTACAAGGGTCTGTAGTGACAGGACAAGGGGTAACGGGTTTAAACTGAAAGTGGGGAGGTTTAGATTAGATATCATGAAGGAATTCTTCCCGGAGAGGGTGAGGGGGCACTGGGACAGGTTGCCCAGAGAAGCTGTGGATGCCCCATCCCTGGAAGTGTCCAAGGCCAGGCTGGATGAGGCTTGGAGCAACCTGGGCTAGTGGAAGGTGTCCCTGCCCGTGGCAGGGAGTGGGGCTGGGTGGGCTTTAAGGTCCCTTCCAACCCAAACCATTCCGTGATTCTGTGATGCTAAAGCAGCCTAGGAATGGGCAGAACAGATCCAACTCGGATGTGTAAGTGGCTACTTTACACCCTGCGGAGGCAGTCACTGGAGGGAGGGGAGCTTAGAGCCGTGGTTGAGTTACCCCTGGAAACTCCGGGGTGCCCAGCCGAGCCCCTGCTCACGGCACATGATCAAATCTCCAGGTCATGGAGCAACTTAGCTGGGCCCAACCCCCCCTTCATCGCAGGGGGGACGGGGGGTGGGCCGAGAGCCCCCATAGTGACTGGCCCGAGCCTGACACGCACCCTAACTTCTGTGAGCGCTGCAGCTCGGCCCTGTCCAAGGGGCCAAGGCAGCACGTCAGCACAGAACACTCACAGTGCAAGATAAGCAAAACCACGAATTCTGAAGCGTTTTTGCAGCGTGGAGAAGCCAAACAGACACGGAACATCCCCAGAAGCAACTTCAGCCCTGTTTCAACAACCTGAATCTTGCTGGTGTGACCTGTACAGGTTCCCCTCCTTGCTGCCCGAGGGCTGTGCCGTGGCTAACATCACCTGCAGCCAAGCCTGAGCCCCGCACGGGGGGTGCAGCCTGTCCGGGGCGTGATTACGGCTCCTCAAAGTTCCATCATCTCAAAAATGACACCGTGCCTGCCCACAGTCCTCGTCACTTCTCAGTCCCAACTCCTCAGATCTGATCATCTAACCACACGAGACTGCTCCACGGGACACAAAGCCGTCCAAACCAGCGCTGGGCTTTGCGGAGCGCTCTCCTGGCGCGGGAACGCTTCAGGTGCTTTCTTGAGGATGTCAGACTGGAACGCGGTCAAAAAGCCTTTTGAAGTAAAAGCCGAGGATGGCAAACCACTCCACAGAGTGAGAAAAGCACTTGGAGCATCTCGGAAAACAATGAATTCAGCTCCTGCCCAGCTCGCAGCTGTCTGAAGCAGAAGCGTCTGTTGACACAGTTACAGCAGATTTGCTCCTTACGGATGTAAGACCCGGAGTTCAGGGCCCGATCCTGCAGCAAGCACTTAACTTTTCTACAGGAGGGGTAGTCGTGACCCTGGTGACCTGTGGCTCCCCAGAGGCTGCAGCCTACCCGCTCTCTCCAGGGCTGTGGTGCTCACGGCGGCATTACCCGACCGACACGCGGGCCCAGCCGGGCTGGGAAGAGCAGCGTTTCCAGCACCGAGCGACGCCATCAGGTACCGCCCGCGGCAGCGGAGGGGAGCACGGTGCACGGTCCTACCTGCGCACGGCCCCACGCGTAGGTGCCGCCCTGTGCGGCTCCAGGAGGGGTCCAAGGAACCTCACGTGCTTCCTCAGGTAAAGCGTGCTGAATCGAGCAGCTGCTTTGCACGTTCCTTGGAAAAGCTCGCCAGTTCAGGGTTCAAATTAATGTTGTTTAGTTCTGCACGTGCGAGCACGACCTGGCAGGACCTGCCTCTAATTAACACTGTGCCACAGCATCACGCAGTCCTGCAGACGGCGTAGTGGGAAACCGTGCCGCGAAAACAGCCTCCTCCCGTTTCCTCTTTGATTTTTGGTACAGCAGACGTATTTTCTTTTGCCTTCTGAACAAGAGACTAATGCACCCCTGAAGTTAATGAAACAATGCGGGGTCATCTTTACTGAATGAAAGTTAAAATCGCTGTCTGTTACACTATATTAAACAATATTTTATTATTCTCACTTGCCTGCTCTGACTCGTGTCCCTGGCAGGCGCCTGCTGTGCAGGGCAATTTAGAACATGCCCGTGCAATAAGATTTGGAGACGCAGGCCGGCTGCAGACACAGGTCGGCAAGGCCAGGTGGCACCTGGGGTCCCGTGTGTGCCCACCCAGCTCACAGCCCCCTCCTCCCCCTCCCCTGGCCATCGCTTCAGGGGACAGTGCCTGGCAAGGAAGGGGACTCCTTACACGAACAGCAGCGTCGGAGGGTCACAGCCCCTGAACAGCATCAGTGCTCAGAGCAGGCCCAGCGTCAGCAGCCCCCTCGCAGCACCGCAAGCTATGCACGTACCTGCTCAGGGCTGGCCAAGAGCCGTGTGCGACGTGTAGCGCGAGCGGCCCGACCGGCACCGGCAAGGGCACACGGCGAAGCTTGGCACCGGCACAGGACCTGCCCGCGCCTCGCCAGGACTCTGGGAGCTCTGTGGGGCTGGGCAGGCTTAAATCATGCCCAGGTTAACAGAGCCAGACCTGCGCGTGGGCTTTTCCATCTCTAGCAGGAGGAGGGTGCTACCAGCAGCTCCGCAGGAGAGGCACATGGTCCTGGTCCGAGTCGTCTCTCAGCGGTTCAGGTTCACAAGTAGCTGACAGATTCCGTGTTTAAAAGGGGTTCTGCTGATGGGAAACTGAGGCTGCCTGACTGCTCATGTACCTGAACGGCAAAAGGTCTGCCCACAAATAAACCCAAACCGAAACATGCTGCCCTTGCCTGCTGCACCCCCAACTCCAGGTGCCTCAAGGTCCAGGAAGGGTAAAAAAAAAAAAAGTTTTGGGATGAGGACGCTGTTGTGGGCTGGGTTTAGTTTTTGGTTGTAACGTGGGAAATGGAGTAGTGTCAGAGAAACATAGTGATTTTCTTTCCCTTAAGCTCAGCTGAAGTTACAGCGGTTTTGGCAACGCTTCAGACCTGCTGTGGGGAAGCACACGGGGAGAAGGAGGGCGCACGAACGTTTCTAGTCCTTTTGCATCCCATTCCGATGAAGGCTGGGAGCTCAGGGACAGGCGTGAAAGAAAAACATTTCACTCCATATTAGCATTTCTTTACGCCCACTTAAAAGCCCTGTGTGTGCCAGAACAAACCAGGGCCGGAGCACCGTGGGAAGAGAGCACAAAAGTGCCGCGTGCCGCCGGAGCTGTGCTCCAGTTCATGGAGGGGAGGGAAGGGCTGGCGGAACACTGGCCCAGCTCGAGGTATTGGAGATGTTTGCCCCTAGTTGTCAGGATTTAAAATGTTTAGAATTCCCACTTGTTCCACAACAGCTTTTTCTTACACGAGACCAACAGAGTTCTGCTCAGGCGTGAGCTGAGATGACGTGACGCCCACTCAACGGCCGGTCCTGCTGCCTTCCGCACTCCGTGGCACGGCTCCCCCCTTCCCCAGCATGCCTAGGGAGAAATAAAAGGCCCTTCACATCAGGATTCCTGCT